CCTTCCCAACCCCACACTCCACTCAAAGGAGGAAGCTGTTGGACGGGCCCTCGACTTCAGGATAGACTCCTGTCGAGGGGTCATCCTCTGGGAAAGTGGCCCAAAGCGGGTTCCAGACAGTGGCCTCCTTGGGAAAGCTGGGAGATGAGGAGTCAGGGGTGAGCTGCTCCCAAGACGCCTCTCTCCCGGCCCCACTGTATCATTCAGCACTGCATGTATGGCCCTGCTGGAAGGAATAAACGTGCACTTTCTTCCACATGCACGTGTGTGCACGCATCTGTGCCTTCTGCAGACCCTTGTCAATACAGACCAGCTGCACGTGTGTCCGTGTGTGTGGCAGTCACTTGCCTGTCGGCGTGTGAGGAGTGTGTGAGCCTGAGTGAGTTGTCCTTGTCGTTGGCTGGCACCACTTTTTGCCATTAGTAACACTGTCACTCACAGGAGCCAGGTCACCAGAGACTTGGAAGAGGCCCCACCCGACCAGCCTTGCCCAACAGCCACGACCCGTGGCCCATTTGCCCCCTGCCCCACTCCCTGCATGTGGGCTCCTCATTCACCACCCCACCCCCTCACACTGCTGACCAGGCAGCTGGGCAGGACCCCTCCTCAGTCTTTTACTCTGCCCACAGCATCTTTGCCACTGGAGCCACCCCCTGGCTCCCTCCTCACCTCGTCACTTCTCCTGTCATCCCCGCCTCATCTGTTCAGACTCAGCATAGACATGGACTCCTCCTACAGGAAGCCCTCCCAGATCTTCCTCTGTGCTCTCAGACTGTAGAACCTAAGACCGCACAGCCCACGTGGAATTTATTATAGGGTTTTTAGAGACTAAAACTCAATACATCTTTTTAAATGAATGATCTCTGTGGGCTCCGTATTTTTTATCTGTAAAATGAAAATAATACTATTTGACACAAGAGTTCCAAAGAGGGAAGTAGATAATGAATGTGAATTTCCTGTCACTGTGCCGGACAGTTTACAGATGCTCTTCATGTCCCTGCCCTTGAACGTTTATGGGTACATGTTCTTTTCTGTTTAAAAATATCATACATTTTCAAGTCCTTTGGCCCCAAAGCACAGCTGGCTTCTTGCAGCTCAGGTCTTTACTGGAATGTCACCTCCTCACGGAGACATTCTTTGATGACTCTATCTAAACAACCCACCCCCCCCAGCACTCTCTGCTCCCATGGTTGTCTTCTTGCGACCTGAACTTGATTCCTTTGTGACTTGTTGAGTTGTCACTCACTCCCTAAAACATGTGCAATACGAGGGCAAAGACCTAGGCTGACTCTTCTGTTCCTGGAACCCATAGTGTCCAGAGCCATGCCTGGCACATAGCGGCGATCCTGGAGTTTCCAGGGCTCAGGCTGTGAAGTCTCTAGGGGACAAATGCCAGAGTGTGTGTGTCTGTGTGTGTGTCTGTGTGTGTGTCTGTGTGTGTGTAGTTGGGATAGAGGATGGGGAGGTACCTTGGAGGTGGCTCTGCCCCATCCCCCATCATAAATCCCAGGGAGGTGAACTCAGGGAGACTTCTGTGTTCCCCCCACATGCTCTCTGGGGGAAATCAGGACCATGGACACTCCAGGACTGCCTGGGGTATCAGGGAGGGGGCAGCATTTTCTTTACCTGGTGATACCTGAGCACAGTCCATCTGCCAGCAAGGAGGGGCTGGGCTGCTTCTGCTGTTTCCCCACTTTTCAGGGACCCTCCCCACTGCCCTAAGCCAGGGCCCCAGGCCCAGGCCTGCCTCTTATCGGTGCCATTTTCTTCCCTGTGTGGTATTTGCTCATCTCCTCCTTCTCCTGTCACCAGAGTCTGACAGATCTGATCCCCACTGCATTCTTGGTGTTCACCAAATCCTCACACTTCCAGCTTTGGGGGTGCTGGGAGGCTCCCTGTGTCTCCTGTAGTGGGGAATGCTACCCTACTGGGGCTCCCTGGGGCTCAGCTGCCACCCTGCCACTCTGGCCCTTGTCCTGGGCATGGCGAGAGGGATTCCAGAGAAAGGCTGCCACAGGCTTCCCCTCCACCTATGCCTGCGGCCCCACCTGCTTGGGAGGGCACTCATTCCCTACCAGTCCCCTTCTCCCCTCAGCTGAGGTGGCCCAGCACCAGACAAGCCTACTTGACTTCTGGCTCAGAGGGTTTGCATGGATCCAGCTTTGGACCTAGGCCCTTGCCCAGCCTCAGTGGTATTACCTGGTGTCACAAGGACTCCCCCTGCTGGCTCTGCCCCCACCCCCGACCCCCACCCTGTGACCTCTCATCCCTGCTCCCTACACCAGGGTGTCCCCCAGTCCCAGCCTCATCCCCAGTTCTGGAGCTCCCAGATGTGGCAGGGCCCCAGAATGTTTGCTCAGGGGATTTCAGGGTTCAGAGGCTTGTGAAGTGTGCTCTGTGGAGTGCCCTGGAGCCATTCTGCATGCACATGTGTGTGTGATGGATTGAACCCTGGGGCTCTGGACCCCCACTCCTATTTTGACCATAGAATTCTAAACTTTTTCGATATTACCAGTGGAGACGCCACATAAGTTACTATTTAAGTAATAGGATCCATTATTTTTTAAAAAGAAAGGTTCAAAAACCATGAAACCTACAGCAGACTCATTTTAGGCATGGGGGAAACTGAGGCCCAGGGAACAAAGGACTTCTCAAGGTCACAGTGGAGTCAGTGGCAGGGCTGGTACCATACCAGCCTGCCTGGCTCAGAGGCTGGTGTTTTTGCCAAGACCAGGCCGAAATGTCCCTCTCAGGAGGTGGCAGGTGGGGGCTGAGTGCCAGGAAGGCCTCGTCCAGAGAAGCCCATTAAGGTCACAGCCTCCCCACCCCTTGGGCCCCTTGTGAAGTGCCTGGGAGAACAGTTGCCTGGAAAGGTCTCTCAGTTCTGAACTGGAGGCTTGAAGTCTGGGAGTGGAAAGGGGTGGGATAAGGGAGGAAGAGTGGGGTGGGGGCTGGGACAGGGGTTCATCTTCTGGGTCAGTCATGCCCAGTCCCTAAATTAAAACACCACTAATAAATCACTTCTTATCTAGGAGAAAAAAAAAAAAACCAACACCAAATGCCCTCCTGTCATTCTGAGACTGCTTCTCCATTCCCTACCCCCCCACCCCACAGTGATCACTCTGACAGTCCTCTTCAGGAAGATGAAGGTATCCCCTGCCACAGTGCCTGTCCCAGTGGAAGCCGCCCCTCGCCCCAAGCACCTGACTTCCAGGCAGAGGAAGCTGGTGGCATAGAGGGGGCTGGGTGGCACTGAGGTGATGACTTCAGGGCTGGGAAGGCTGGGAAATAGGGGGCTGGCATTTCCATCTCAGGAGTCCTGTGGAACCTCCCCCTACTGGCAACAGCAGGAATGGCATTGCAGGGGGGCTCTGTGGCATCCCCCTGTATCTCTTCCCAGTGGCCGGTGGGCACCTGGGAAAATGCTATTGAATGAAGAGTTGTGTTCATCCTCCTCCTCTAGCCCCTCACAATCACCAGTCTCGGCTCCCCGACGTCCCCAACACCCCTGTCCTTCAGAGACTACAAGGACTGAGTTATTCTTAGTAGGTTTCATTCATCAAAGCATGACAAACGGTGTCCTGCGAGGAATGCCTGGGAGCAGCTGAGAGCCAGAGGGGTTGGGTGGGGTGCAAAAGCCTCATCTGAGGGGAGAATCCAATGCCTTCAAAGAGCTCTAGACTGAGGGGAGACATGGCCCTGCCCTCAGGGAGCTCCCTATGATAGAGGATGCTACTCCCGCACCCATTCATTTAGTCCTCAGTGAGATTCCAGTCTGAGTCAATATCCTGCCCTCAAGGAGCCTGTAGTCTGATGGCAGAAAAATACCATGTCACCCCTGCTGGAAAAGATGTGGCGCCTACCCAGGGCAGAGATTGATATGCAAGATGAAAAAAGGGGCTGCCAGAGGGGTTCTCAGAAATATAGGCAGTCACCACCTATGGGGAGCCTAAAGAGGGGGCTGGAGGGACACTCATCTCAGCATGCTTAGGGAGAAACATGCAAAAACTACAAAGGGGCAGCAGTGCAGACTGAGATCCTAGAAGATGAGGGAAAAGGTGAAGGCTCAGGCCAGGTGGGCTGATCTAAGCCAAGATCTCAAATGCCTTTGGGGACTTAGTCTGGCCACACTTGTCTTTGCCAATGAGGAGGGCAGCCTGCACTGTCATTGGATCTTACATTCAATATGAAAATCACATACACACCGAAGGCCAAACAAAATCTCACTAAAGATTAAACTTGGCCCAAGGCTATGAGTTTGCAACCCCTGGGCATCAGGAAAGAATTCCTGATAGAAGAGAGGTTTGAGCCTGGTTTGGATAAAGAGGCTGACAGCCAAGTTGCTCCCCTCAAGTCCTGGCCACCAGGCTTAGGTTCTGTGTCTTCAGGGCCTCCTCCCACCCTTCCTGGGATGAGATACTTGAGCCACTCTTCACCAGCTCACTTGCAACCAACAGGCCACAGCTGGTCGGCTGCCAATACTCCCAGTCTGTCATGGGGGTATCACCTTTCTTCGCAGAAATATAATTCCCCTGTTAGGAGAAGGAGCCTGTCTGACTCTTTAAATGAGCTGATCTTCTGGAAGTTCTGGCTGGGTGGCCTTCCCTAAGAGCCTTACTTCTCTGAGCCTCATGTATAAAATGGGATACTATTGCCCAGGTGCCCCTTCCCTCCGCCCCAAACAGTTAACTTTCCAACGGACCTCAGTGGAGAGAGTCCTGCCCCATTCCCCACTCTCCCAGTCCCTTCCAGCAGAGCTCAAAGACTGTAGCCTTACAGAAGGGGAGGGGCCACTTCAGGCCTGCGGTCAGGTCTCCAAGTCCTGCACCTCCCCAGTCCCCATCCCAGGTGGGGTCTCCTAGCTCTCTCCTTGGACCAAGGGTGCAGTCCTGGAGGGCGGCAGGAGGCTGCGGGAGGGGCCGAGGCGAGCACTCCTGGGGACAGGGGGCGAGGGACAGGGGACAGGTGACGGCGGTGTTCCAGGACCGGGGAGGGACGGCCTAATTATGGCGCGTTGGCCCAATGCCACTGAGAGCCGCGGAAGAGAGCGGCGGTAGGTAATTAGAGCGCATTAGCAGTGCCCCTGAAATACTGTAATTTCTCCGTGCGCTGCGGGTGTGTTGGAGGAGGTGAAGCGATGCGGGCTCGGCTCTGAGTCAGACTCGCGGAAGCCCGGGTGGGGACGCAGGGGACGGCAGAGGCTGCGGAGAAGGGACTCCTGCCCTGGGAGGCACCGGCACTTTCCCCGGCCGTGGAGCCACCTGTCCCGGGGCTGCTGGCGGAGCTTCCCCACTTCCGAGGACACAGTGGGCGGGGCCTGGGGGCGGGGCAGCGAGGGGCGTGGCCAGAGCCTCGTCCCGCCTCCAGGGGGCGCTCCTAGGTCCTGCGGCTCTTTCCCCAGCTTCGAGAGTCCGGTCCCCTGCACCCAACCATGTGGCAGGCTCCCTGCGCGCAGGTGGACTGAAGGAGATACTGATTCATCGCGCGAGGCAGAGGCCCCCTGAATTCGGCCAGAGGCGGGCCAGTGAGAGGGAAAAAAAGTTAGAAACATCAGGAAGGGAGTGGGAGAAGGGAGTTGAAGACGTGTGTTCCAGCAGAGTCCTGAAGTCAATTCTAGGGGAGCCAGAGGGGAGCGAGCAGGGGGCTGAGGCTGGGAGGGGAGTTTATTTATTAGCCAGATTAGCCAGTATTAATGGGGGAGCGGTGGTGGCCGGCGGCGGCCGGGGACATAGCTGGCATAGCTGGCATAGCGGCGGGGCCTCCTGCGGCGCGGGGCTCAGGCGGCTTCAAAGGGGCTTAAAGAGGCCCGTGGTGGCACTGCCACGGCCCCGCGGGGGAGGGCGTGGGCGCGGGCGTCAGGGGAGAAGGCTGCCATTGTGCACCGAGGGATTAGGGATCTGGCCTGGAAGGAATTTTAAACTGCTGCGAGCCGGCGCCCCAGGACTCACCTCCTTCACTGCTCCAGGAACAGGAAGCACGCTCAGATGTTTACCTGTATTTCCATGTCTGGGTGTGTGTGTTGGGGGGGGGGGTGTGTGTGTGTCCTCCTTCCCTCGGACTGGAGGCATCTGGGGTTGTCAGCTTTGGCAAATAACAATACAGGACGTCCAGTTATACTTGAATTGCAAATAAACAATGAATACTTTTTTTAAAGTATAAGTATACCCCATGTGTTATATGGGATATACTTATACTAAACATTCCTTGTTTATCTGAAATTCAAATTTAACTGGACATCTTTTTTTTTTTAACGTCTTGTATTTGTTTTTCTAGCAGCCCTAGAATCACCGAAATGTCTAGTCTGTGTCTGCAATAGATTGGGGGCTTCCTAAAAATTCAGTGGGGCTGTGTGTCTCTCTACCCTGGAATGGTAGGTTTCCTGAAGCCAGATGCTGTGTTTCACCTTTCTGAATGGAGTTCTGATGGTAGAGTGTCTATTTCCATCACAGTAGAAGCTTCCTGAGGGCAGAGGCTGAATTTCAGATTGGAACTTTGAGGTCCACGTTCTGTGCCTTTATCCCACTGCAGGTTCCTAAGGCGGGGGTCTTCGTGACTCCTGGAGAGCAAGTCTGGTCTCCTTTTCTCCTTCCAGCGCGTGGAGGCCCCTCCCCCTACTGGTGTAGCATCCTGCCTACAGGGGGCGCTGGGGGCCCAGAGGACTGAACTGCAGCTGGATGGGTCGTTTCTTGGCATTCAGGGTTGCAGGTTCTCTAGAGCTGAAGGACCTGGGGGCTTGGAGGGTGGGTCCTCATTCTGTGTGGCTCTGGAACTGGTCCTGACCCCCTGTCTCAGCAGAAGCTGTGCCCAGCGTGTGGGAGAATCTCCGAGTCTGGTTACCCACAGTTTTCTGCCAGGAAGGGGCAGAGTGGCGCTCAGTGCAGAATGGCCCTGCACCCCTCCTCTCTCCCCATAACCACTGCCGCCAAGCCTCTGTCGTCCATCAGCCTCACAAACCCCACCACCCAGCCTTTGCCTGTGCTGTCCTCTGTAGCAGCACCCTCTCTTCCTGTCCTCGGGGACGGCTGATGGCTCACCACACCTCCTGGGTGCTCTGGCCTTCAGCATGGTAGGTATGGCCATGTAGGATGCTTGTGCCTGGCGGTCTTGTGGTGAAAAGAGACCTCTGTCTCTGTCCTCACCAACGTGGGCCACAGGGGCCAGGGAGGGGACAAAGGTGGGGGTGGGGACAGAAGGGAAGTTGGGGGGACTGTAGGTGGAGGGGAAACAAGAGGAAGCCTCTGCCACCCTCTCCTCCTCCTCCACCCCCACTGTCGCCCCTTCCCAAATCCCCTTGTCCCTCCAGGGCCTCTGAACTCTTTTCCCTTGAAGCTCAGGGAAGCCCGGGAGAAGCCGTTTCCCACGGTCACAGCCTCAACCACCCCCACCCCCTGCTCCTTTGGCCGCAGCCACCTCAGCCTCTGCAGAGCCCAGCCTGGCCTGCTCGGTCCCTGCAGGGCCCCCTCCTTGATCCCGGGAGCCTGCTTCTGCGAGTGGCATCATCACCCCACTCCTCAGGCCGCCCAGTCATCAGGTCAGCAATTAGCTACTTCCTCCCGGCTGCATGAGGCCACCGAACGTCACAGCCCCTCCCCCTGCCAGCCGGCGGCGGCGGCGGGAGGGCTGGGGGGTGCCCCCCACACTTTGTAGTCTGTGCCAAGTCCTGGCACGACCTTCTCCCCCCACAACTCCACCCCCGCCCCTCACCACAGTCTACCAAGTGCTGGGGTACTGAGCCTTTCATCTGGGGAGCCCGGAGCTCCCTGCGCTCCTGGCGGCGGGAGAAACCGTGCTGCCGTCTCCTCCCGCCCCCACCCCACCCCGAGTCGCCCCATCCCATTGGGTGAGAACACGGCTGCTGTCTGGGTGGGGTGATGCCTGCTCAAGGGCACCGCAGCCCTGAGTTCCAGTGAGCGGGTCTGGGCCTGAGACTCAGGTGTGCCTGTCCCGAGTCGCAGGCAGTTTCCATCCGGCTCTCACCTGGGCTGGGGGCTCTGCCGAGGATGGTGGCGGTGACCTGGTAAGGGGGAAGCAGTCTGGCGGCACCCTGTGGACACCCACACACGTGGGGGGCAGGCTCTTCTGAACCCCCCCAGCGGCTCACACACCAGGGCACACTCGCAGATCCAGCCTGCAGCCATGCACTCGGGTGTCCCAGGCAGGCCAACCCCCCCGAGAGGTATGCCGCACACCTCCTTCTCCTATGTGCACACGAACCAACCGACATCCTCACAGACAACAAGCTCACCGCTGCACCCAAACGAAAACCGGAAACCTACAGAGGAGCCCAGGAGGGTGGGCTGAGAGACACCCCCAGCCCCTCTCCCCCCACGGATCATACCCCATGGGCCGGGGGTCTTCCTGGGGAAGGGTGGGAAGGCAATGCGCTGGGCAAGTGGGAGCAGCTGTGGTCTGAGTCTGGAGGTGGGGGCTGGGGGTGGATTTCCAGAGAGAATAAGAAAGTTCCAACAAATACAAACAAATGTGTGGCATCTTAGGCAGATTGTCTAACTCCCTGGGGCCTCAACGATTGCATCTGTAAGATGGGGGTGATGAGGAGCCTGTTTAAACTTGGTAGGGAAGTTTAAAGGAGGTGACTGGCTCAGAGAAGACCCCCCAGCCCACATGACTGTTGAGGAGACCCTCCCAGTGTCCTGTCTCTGGGTGGTGGGTTTGCCTACCAGAGCTGCCCTGGGGAGAGGAGCAGCCTTCATCCGGGGCCTTACCTGACCATGTGCTCACCGCTGACTTTCTCCACTTCCTGGGGTCCAGCCCTGGTCATGTGTTGGGGCTGATGGGGTGCTGCTCCGGATTGGCCTGAGGGCAGGGCCTGGGAGGGGCTGACTGACTGCCCCGCCCCTACTTGACTGGCCCAACAGGTAGCTAAGTGCTGGCTTCCGGCCCAGGGAGGGGATGAGTCAGCCAGCACTGCCCCATCCAGGCAAATGGGGTGCTGGGGATGGGAGCTTGGGTGGAGGGGCCTTCTAGGAACGTTCCTGGAAGAGGACCTGGGAACCACGCTGCTGCCTGGAGCCACCGCCTCGGCCTCCTGTACTGTACCCAGCTCAGCAAACACCCTTATCCTTGCTTCTCACAGTTTTCCGCCCTCTTGACTCATGGGGCCGACCCAGCTGGGAGCAGGGAGCCAGGCCTGCGGCCATCTCGCTACCTTGCCACGTTTCTCAGCTCTTCCAGAAGGTTGTCCAAGCCATGGACACAGGGCACACATACACACAACACATACACACATGCTCTTGTACATGTGTCCACAGCCACATAAGCACAACCAGAGACAAGTTTCCATAAGCACTCACCCATACATATTCTCACCCCTCCCTCACACTTATGCACACCCACACTGACACACTATTTCACACACACACTCACGGACACCACACACAAACTTGCAGAGTCATAATCACCATTGTGGGTTGAATTGTCCCCCTAAAGGATATGTTGGTATCTTAGTCCCCAGTCCCTCCAAAGATGACTTTAGTTGGAAACAGAGTCTTTGTAGATGTAATCAAGATGAGATTTGACTGGATAAGGGTGGGCCCCTAATCCCAATGACTGGTGTCCTTTTAGGAGAGATTTGTAGACACAGAAATATGGAGACCCACAGGAAAGAAGGTCACATGATGATGGAGGCAGAGATTGGAGTGATGCAGCTCCAAGCTGAGGAACACCAAGTATTGCCTGCACCCACCAGAAGCTGGGAGAGAGGCACTGAACACTCTTCCTAGAGTCTCCAGAAGCAACCAGCCCTGCCAGCATGGTGATTTTGGACTGTGACCTCTTATTTTTTTATTTTGGCTGCACTGAGCAGCTTGGGGGATCTTCGTTCCCCAACCAAGGATTGAACCCAGGCCCTTGGCAGTGAGAGTGTCAAGTCCTAACCACTGGGCCACCAGGGAATTCCCTGGCCTTCTTAATTATGAGAGAAAAAAATGTCTGTTGTTTTAAGCCACCAAGTCTGTGGTAGTCTGTTATGGCTGCCCTAGGAAATGAACACAGTCATGCATACACACACTCACAGTCACACTCACAGGAACGAGGCAGGTGGAATCCCTCTTGGAGGCTGCTCTGTCTCCATTCTCCTTCCCCTGTGACTGGTCCCATGGATGCAAAAAAGTTCATGGCACCAGGCAAGAGATCAATAATTTTTCATCCATCCTTTCCTCCCTGGAGTTCTTAATAAGCTACCCCCCTAAAATCTGTTCTCAAGAATGAGCAGCCATGGTTATATGCACCAAAAGACATGTCTAAGGAGGCTGTGGTTGCTTTAATGTTATAAATTAAAAATCGGAAACAACCAAACATCCCTCCACAGAACAGATCAATCAGTTGTGGCATAGCTAGTCAGTGGGAGGCTACTCAGCTATGAAAAAGAAAGAACTAGTGTTGCAGAAACAACATGGATGACCCCCACAGACCTCATGTCCAATAAATTGGGCCAGACACAAAGAGTGAATGCCCCAGGAGTCCTTTTGCATGAGGTTCAAGAACAGGCAAAGCCAATCTGTGGTGAAATAAGAGTGGTCACCTCTCTCTTGGGGGGATGGTGTTGACTGGGAGGGGCTTGAGGGAGGGCAGAAATACTCTGTGCTAGATCTGGGTGGTAGTGACATGGGCATACACACATGCACAAGTTCACCAAGTGATACCCTTCAGATTTGTCAATTTGAGGCATGAATCTTATACCTCAATAAAAAAAAGTAAATTAAAAAAACTGGGTTGGGACTTCCCTGGTGGTCCAGTGGCTAAGACTCCACACTCCCAATGCAGGGGGCCAGGTCAGGTCAGGTCAGGGAACTAGATCCCACATGCTGCAACTAAGAGTTTGCAGGAAAAAAAAAAAAAAAGAGTTTGCAGGCTGCAACTAAAAGAAAAATATCCCTCCTACCGCAACTAAAGAACCCACATGCCACAATGAAGACTGAAGACCTCGCATACCGAAACTAAGACCCAGTGCAGCCAAATAAATAATTTTTTTTTTTTAAACTGGGTTTCCAGGAGGTGAATGACCAGAAGTCACTGCATAGGATAGCATCTTCTGGGGTGGGTGGCTGCAGAACCTTCCTTGTCACCCTGTTGCACTGCTGTCCTTGGGCCTGGGGTCCCTTGTGGGGCTGACTTACCAGGATATTTGACTATAAACCTTGAGCCTGTGGAGGCGCTGGGATATCTCGACAGCCCAGACCCTCTGTAGCTGACCCATCTCTGGGTGGGAATGGGTGTGCAGAGATCCCACTGAAATCTGTTTCTCAGATTAAAGACCAAATGTTGTGATTTCTTCTGCAAAAATCCCACATTGAAGAAGAAGAGCTATCTTTTCATGTAGCTTTTGCTCTCTGCCAGGCATATACAAAGTATCTTTGGGGTGGGTGGCAGTATTGTCATTTCCCAGTCAAGAAAACTGAGGCTCTGAGATGCTGAGCACTTTCCCAAGGTCACACAGGAAGCTTAACAGGGGGGATTTGGCGTGATAGCTCCATCAGACTTGGGCTCCGGGCGCGACTGTGTCACCATCTGTGTGGGCTCTGGGGTCTCTACGAAGGAGGGGTTTAGGGGAGGGTCTTGCCTTGAACCTGACTCACAGCACACACACTGCTCTCCTGGAGTGGCGGGAAGGGGCTGCTGCCCTGGCCCTTCTGCTGCTCCTCACCCTGGCTCTTACCTCTCAGCTCAGAGCTCTGCCCTTAGGGGTGCCAGAGTTGGGGATCATGGATCAGGGGGGTGAAGGAGGAAGTAGGCAAGGGCATGGATCAGAAGAGCCTGTTCCTTTGGCAACTGTCCCAGAGTCAGTGCTAGAGTTCCCCATCCCTCCCCCACTTCCTGGCATGGCCCACTGGGAGGAGACAGGACCACCCAGCTGAGCCAGGTCAGAGCCAGGCAGAATGGCCAGCCAGACCCTTCTCCTTGCCAGGAGGACCGATTGGGAGAGGGGCGTCATTTAAGGATGTGCAGGAGGGCAGCATGCAGGGCGGCCCCCAGCACCACCCAGGACCTGCGCTTCTCACCCACCCACGCCTTGCCAGCAGGAGTTGGGTCATATGATGGTGAGGAGGAGGCAGGTGTAATAGGAGCCGACATCCTCCTGGCCTGCCCTGTGACTATATTAAGGTCTGTACCTGGTTTCCCCTCTGCCCTGCCCCTAGGACTTCCCCTCCTCCTCCAGAGATCCTGCGTTGCAGATTAAGGAGTCATCCCTCCCCTCCATCCCATTGACCTGGGAAAGGGGCAGGAGCCTAATGAGGTCACTGCCAGTGGGTGGGGAAGTGGAGGCAGTAAATTTAGGTCTTAGGTGCTAATGAGCTGTAGGCGGGATCCACTTAGGGGGAGGTGGCCTGTTTGGAGGCCTTAGCACCCCTCACACTCAGTCATCTGCCCCTGCCGCCCACACCCATCACCCAGGGCTCACAAGGGCACACACAGAACCCCCTCAGTGAGACACGGTTTGTACGCTTCCAGGCCAGTCACGTGTAGCCTTGCACGTGTGCACC